TATTACATAATTACTAGATATACATATATTAATACAATAAATACCTTAATTTGCAAAATGTTGAATAAGATTTCTTCAAAAATCTAACCCTCTTCCTTTTTATTTATAATTGGAATGTGTAAACTAGCATCTTCAAAATTATCTAAATTTTCCCTTAAACCAATATTATGAAGAACAGCTGTTGCACAAATAATAGCAACAGTTGTTTTGTAAACCTCGGAGACATGGAAGACGTTTTTTCCAAGTCCAAAGAGCCTTTCAACATTTTGCGTTCTTCTATGGGCAAAGTTATACCTGGTTTCTTGTTGATCCTACCTAGCTGTAGAACAGGAGTCAATAGAAATGGCCTACATCTATATGCATTGTCTCCAAGAAGTAAACCAGGAATATCACTCCTTTCCATTAGCATTCTTAAATTACTTGGATCGAATACAACACTATCATGACTTGACCCTGGATATCCAACTATAATATTCATAATTTCCCTTTTGGGACCTGAATATTTAGACTAAAAACTTTTGCAATTTTGAAATACTTCCACATTATTGTATTATTCTTGATTATCTGGCTTATTGTACGTTGGCTAACACTACGCAAGTCTCCATTTACCATCTGAAAATTACAAGTCGCATAAAACTGTAAACAAATTAGTAATTGAATAACGGGGAGAATCGGTAAACCACGATTGGTAGGTTTTTGCAAGTCTTCAATTTATAAGAGGTAAAATAGTTTCTGTAATTGTAGCCTTGTTAAACCTATATCGGCATAAATCCCCCCTCGCTAAACATTTCTATTGGATTTCCTGCATCCCGTATATATCTTTTTGGAACTCGAAGACGATTTTCTTCTTCCACATGGTCCAAAATATCCTCAAACTCTTCTAACATATTCAAAACTGTTTAATCAGACAAAACGGATTTACAAGGGATTTACTTTGTTTTATCTTTGTTTACTAAAAAAGTTAGGTTAAGAAACTATCCACAGATCACATAAACTATCCTAAATGAAAATCGCAATCTCCAAAATGACGTTTGCTCGTGTATTCTGTGGATTCCGCTCTCAAGAGCCCAAGACCGTCTTGGCGTCTCGAGATAGAAAATAGAAGGGATGAAGAGATGAGCGTCAACATGCGCAGAAGGTCCTAATCAAGTTGGGCGCCATATTCCAGGTCTTCGTGTCATTTGCTGATATAGGGTGGTAATCTAGTAAAAAATAATAATTTGCTGTTTCAACCATACACGGGAGCAATTTAAATTGAGTGAAATTCTATCATTCATTATGGTTAGTTAACATTAATATGATTTATTTAATTATCAGTTTCAAAACTGCGTACAATATTGGTATATAATACACTAAATATACGAATATTCTGACAAAAGACGCTACGGACAGATGACCTTTTCGTCGTAAAACACTCGAAATGATATTAAATAAGTATTTACAATATTTCATGTTTACTTGTACTGAATTACGCGTTTCAATTTAAAATTTTTGCAAATTTGGTAAAAATTGTTCTAAACAACTTTTTGTTCAAGTTGTATATTCATAAAAAACATTTGGTTCATAATTATTTTTGATGATTATCTACCTTGTATTTTTAATATAAACCTAGAAAAAATATGTTTTTGTTTTATTTTTTTTATTCGTCCCTTCAAATTATGTTTCAAAAACTGTTACATAACATGTCCTCTAACAAATATTTTCATAATACATAAACATCATTGATTTTATTAAGGGTATTATTATTAGTATTTATCCTGGTTTTTGTCGACAATAAAAACTCAATCTTGTAATAGAACATCAATTTTATATTTCGTAAAATTATTTTGATACAAATTCGATTTGTCAAAATTCAAGTCATTAATATATTGATAAACAACCCAAATTATTCCTAAATATTTTATTATAAAAAAAAACTGTTACCGGTAAGTTTGTAAAACACATTATGGTTTGTCGTAATACTAGAAAAAATAATTTATTTTTTGCACAAAAGAAGCTTGTCGATCCTTATTTGTCCATAACAAAATTCTGTATGTACAACATACATATACCTAATTTATTATTAAGAAAATTAGATTATATGATCTCAGAATTTTAAGAAAAATTTTTTTAAGATAAAATAGTTTCTTCTCAACTGTAATATTGTCAACTTTGGCCTGTATTTTATCTATTTAAAAACATGGGATTGACAATTCCCTTACTAAAATACATACTGGAAGGTACCGATTAAGTTTCATTGCATCAAATACCTTTGCTAAAAATCCTGGCTCACAATTTAAGGCCATTGCAAAATGCTTTTGAACTTCATCATAGATTTTACAAGAATAAAAGTGTAATATTGAAACAAAGTAACATTGTAAGCTTCATGACTAATAGTCTCGTTTTTAACACTCTTCAAATATCATCTCGTTAACAATTATGAATATTATATGATTTTTCTCAGTGATTTGTGGCACAGATACAAATTAATACCGTATGATCGAAAAAAAACGGCGTCCAGTGGCTGGGAAATGACAATCGATGACATATCCCATATAAATTTACATATAAAATGACAGCGATCTTCATTTCATAGCCATCGCTGACGCCGTTTTTTCTCGATCATACGGTATATGCCCCATAACAGTTTTTAAATAAGAAATTTCTGCCTACAGATTTAATTTTCTTATTGGCATAATACCCTTTCTTCCTATATAAATCTTGCCATTTTTTCAGTCCAATGTTCCTTGTTTTTACAGTTGTAGGAATACTAAAAATATTGACTATAGAACTTGATACTATGTTTGAAAAAGCCTTCATACCTGTAACTGTGCATAAATCTAATTAACTGAATTCTTATCCTCTTGACACTCTGAACACTGCTGCTGCTAATGTTAGAAATGTTTAGCACAAAACTACAACTACCTACAACAAACTTTACAATAAAAGTGTTAAATTTTTGCTGTTCGATTAAAATATCCTATCTTATGTTTTCTTTTCCTCCAAATAATCTTCTTGTCAAGTAAGGACCAATCTTATTTGATATATTTCTGGTACACTTGAACTTGTGCTTTCATGGACACTATAAGAGTGCACTGTTTTACAGAAGCACGAACATTGATTCCAAGTATCTTCTTCCTCCACACTTAATAAAAGCATCCTCTTTAAATGGCCACATCATACACTTATTTTTGACCATTCCCAATTACAATCACGATTTTTACAAATTGCCTTTAGGAAAACTAAAAATAAACAGTTTAAATCATCTGTAAACACGATTATGTTGTATAAACTTACACATGAAAACTAATCATTATTCCCGGCGTATTAGCTTTTTTAGAATGACTATGAATATACAACAAGCCTTTTTGAATTAGTGTTTAGAATAATTGAGATAATAAATTTTAACTAGGTAACAACACAAACGAAAAACAAAACAAAACAAACAGATGTCAATTAAAGAGGGGAAGTGACAGCGAGACCTGGAAGATGTCTGCTATCTTGCCGTCGACAAAAATTTGGATGCGCACTCGTCGAAGCATTCTCCCACTTCCATATCTCTGCTCGAGATGCAACTATAAATACCAGCCAGTGTGTTCTGTGCATAGATAAAGGAAACAAGTTTAGATTGGAAAGCCCGTAAAAATTTTAGGTCGCGAAATTACTTTGGGTCGCGACCGTTATACGCGATCTGGCGCTGCTATAGCAGTTGCTATCAACAACCGCAAACAAAAACAGAAATAATTTTCTATTATCAAAGTCAGAATCTTCAAAAATTATAAAACATTTCAAAATCTAAACCGCTCTTATTGAAGAAATTCTGAAAAGTGTTTATAGCGTCCATTTTCAAAGTAATTATTGCTATCTTGTGAGTTTAATTCAAGTTTTATTTACTCCAACCCGTGATAATTGTGAAAAAGTGGCATTAAAAACTTAAAAAGCTGTGCTGTGAACTGTGAACTGCAAAAACCGTGGATCGTGGCATAACGTCGGTTTCCAATGTTTCATAGGTATTTCGTACATGTCCTTATATAAAATAAAGTTTTTTGTATGCAACACACTGTATTTTATTTATAAAAGTGAGGAAAGTGAGGAAAATAATAATAAATTTAAATAAACAATATTTGGGCGATATAATTCCGGAAAAAGCCGAACCGTTCCGAAATTTTCAAAAGCTTTGGGTCGCGACCGTTAAGAATAGCGCCAAATAGTGTTTGCATTGTCCTTATGGGCACTTTCCAATCTAAACTTCATTTATCTATGGTTCTGTGTTCTGTGGACGGAATTCAACTGAAAGGCTTTGCAATCTGCCGATATTCGACAGATTGCAAAAACTGGCAGAACATATTTGCGAGAGTGCAACTACTCTTTTCCTTAAACTATGGTATTAGATTAAATTTACAAGAAAGAAAATCCAGAAAAGATCCAGGGTTCTCAAAATTTTAGCAAAAATAATCATTTTTTGAAAACGTTCAAAGTAAAATAACTCGTTATTTTGGACTTATTTGAAAAACGATAAAAAGAGAAAATATGTTTCGTTTATCGAGATCTACCGCAGCAAAATATTTGCACTTATTTCTGGGACACCCTGTATAGTTATTTCGAAGAGTTCACACATTTTTTAGTTTGAAATATTGATTATTTCAAATTAAAAAAACTTAAAAAAGTAGATACGAGTAAAAATTAGTAATTTTTTTATTCGTAACTGGTTCGTAACCAAAAGTCTTGACCAAAAGTAACTATTTGAATTTGAGTAATTTGAGTACTTGGTCAAATTCTGGTCAAATCTCAGAGCAATAATATCTAAGGTAACAAAGTAATATTCGGTGATAAAAAATAATCTCCAATTAGCATGGGAGATGGGAGCCAATCTGTAACATTTATTTATCGATATCGAATAAAAGTGATTTTCATTTCTTCTTCTCATTACTATAGGTAAGGCTACCATAGAATCAGTCTATGACACGGGTCTATGATGAGCATATAAATTTTTACTATTAATCTATGTCGCAAAATTAACCTACAAATTATAAATTATTGGCGCCCTGGAAAACGTAAACAAGTGTTTACTGGTGTTTATTAAATAACGAATAACGTATTAATTATTAATTATTTTCAGTACACTAATTAAAACTTCTTTTCATTTATGAGTCTATTATTTGTGCAACATTAAAGTGCTATTTTTATTTCAGATTAAAATATGTCGAACAAATTATCTCAAAAAAGCATCACGTATGTATTATTTGAGAATATAAACTGTGTTTAAGAATAAATATTTTAGATCATTTTTCAAACCTAGTACGGGCAACGAAAAAGATCAACAAGGGTATGTATATACTTTGTAATGTTTTGCAATGTTGAGAGCTCTTCGGATAATTAATTTTTCCTTATTTTCACTTCACAAATATTCCAATAAGCTCTCCAGTTTTTCTTCACATAGCATTAAGTTTAATGTATTATATAATGTTTCTTTTCATAAATATATTAACAGTAGTCCAAATGAGAAAAAACGTTTTAGAAGTTCAAGTAGTGGTAATTCAGAAGTTGAGAAGTAAGTAGTTTTTTTTCTGGCTATAGAAATTAATGACACATTGATTTAATGTTTTTTAGATCTCTGACAAAAGATTAAGAAAAAAATCAGGTATGTTTATCTGTTTGTTTATTTTTATAACAACTCTTTTGATATGTTTTTAAAATTTGTAGTTAAGAAAAAGACAAAATCTATAGATACTCGAAAACCTAAAAAAGTAAAAAACTGAAGATGAGCAGTCCACACCACCCAAGATAAAAAGTATTAAGGATAGTTTTACAGATGAAGAAATTGAAGAAAAAAATACTGCATTAAAACATGAAAATCCTGTTGAAAATGAAGGTTAGTACCAGAAAAAGAAATATTATTTTGGTGAAAAAACAGCTGAAACCACGAAAAATTCGTCACAATTAATTTATAACCCAAAAGTCAAAAATTATCACCCCATAGAAGATGCAACGTGGAAACGAAATGAACGGTATATTATGCAGAAAAATCTTATTTTTATGTTTATAAGCATTCTCTATCTCTATCTAGTGTTCCATATAGTGCTTTGGCAAGGACTTTGGAAGAAATTGAAGATGTGTCTGCTCGCTTAAAAATGATTGAAATACTTAGTAATTTTTTTCGTTCAGTGATAGTTTTGACACCTGATGATCTCTTACCAAGCATATATTTGTGTTTAAATAAAATTGCTCCAGCCTATGAAGGTTAGTACTTATATTAAGGATTTTAAAATTTTTGTATGTATTTTTGTCATAATTATACAGTTTATGTTTAAATTACCAGAAGCGACAGGGACAATTTTTTTCATACAGCAAATTTTAATTGTTTTTAGTCTATAATTTTAATGATGCAGGTTGTCAAATTTTGATTAGTTGATGTTGAAATATTAAGAATGAACATGTAAAAAACCCATAGACAAACAAATAAAAAGAGACTGACAAATCTCATGGTAAAGAGTGGGACCGCGTTCCCGTATCGCAACTCAGAATAACAATTTTGAAACCAATTAGCAGGACAATGGCAGGACGTACGTCTTTATTGCTATCTTTCTTTATTATGTGTGCTTTATATGAAAAAGAAAGAGATGGGTATAAAACGTATCGTAAGACATTATCGCACATTCTGGCTGGCGGAAAATTTAAATTAGCCTTTATTAGTAGTATTCTTTCATTCTGAAACTGAAAATTTTCACTTAAACTTATTTATTCCCTATACCACGTAAAGGGAACGTGGTGTATGGAATAAATCAGTTTAAGTGAAAATTTGCAGTTTCTTTCAGAACGAAAGAGTACTACTATTATAAGTAAAATTATAAAAAAAAGCAAAAATTGTACTGTTTTATAAACATATTTATTTATACATAAAAATAAATAAACTTTTTATAATATAATAACAAAAAATAACAGTGTTTATTCCACCCACCTACCAATTTTAAATACAGTAGAACTGACTGTTGCAGGAAACGATCGGCCAATTTTTTTAAAGGGTATTAAAAATCTAATTTTCGAAAAAACTGTCTAATTGCAATAACATAGTGAATATCCAAGCAAAGAAGACTTTACGAGAATCATGATCCTGAACCATTTTCAAGTCCAGTTTTAATCCTAAAAC